CGCCCCCCGGCAGCCAGCGGGGCGGGCGGGGGCCCTCTGGCGCCGGCCCGGGGCGGGAGCGCAGCCGCCCCTTCCCTCCCTCCCTGCCTCCCGCGCCGCGCTCACCTCGTCGTCGTGGTGCTGGCAGTAGCTGGCTCGGTCGGGGAAGACAGAGAGGATGTTGTACGGCGAGGCGGGGTAGGGCGGGCTGAGGGCGAGCGGCGCGGCGGGGCCGGCGGCGGCGGGGCCGGCGGCGAAGCGCTCGATGAAGTGGTCCTTGGTGAGGCGGACGCGCTGGTGCGCCCGCACGCAGTTGTCGCACAGGTGCTCCTGGCAGTCCAGGCAGCGGGAGCTGGCGGCGTTGCCCTCGTCGCAGGAGCTGCAGCGCGGCTCGCCCTGCCGGCTGTGGGGCCGCCGCAGCAGGAGCGCCGCCGAGCCGCCGCCGCCCGAGGAGGAGGACGACGACGACGTCGAGGAGGGCGCGGCCGAGGCGGCGGCGGCGGGCGAGGAGCCGGCGGCGNGCGGCCGTGGTGCCGGTTGTTGCCGCCGCCGCCCGAGCCCGCGGCGGGGCCGGCCCCGGCGGCGCGGCCGTTCTTCTGCTCGTCGGCGGCGGCCGCCACGACGACGACGTCCAGCAGGTTGCTGAGGAGGAAGTTGGAGGAGGGCAGCGCGTCCATGCCCGAGGGCTCCGAGATCACCACCTTCTGGTCGCAGATGGGGCAGCGCAGCTTGAGCGCGTCCCCCGTGCCGGGGTGCCGCTGCGCCTCCAGGCACTGGCGGCAGAAGGCGTGCAGGCAGGGCAGGACGTGGAGCCGCCGCGGCGGGCCCCCGCAGGAGGAGCCGCCGCCGCCCCCGGAGGAACTGGAGGTCTGCGAGGAGGACGAGGAGGTGGAGGAGTTGGACGAGAGGGGAGCCGGCGAGCCGCACATCTCCTTGCACAGCGGGCAGATCTGGAAGTCGGACTCGGGAAACGAAGCCATTTGCGATGGGCCTGACTCCCCGATGGGGGGCAAAAACGTGTCTCTCCTCCCCAAAAAAAAAAAAAAAAAAAAGGGAAAAAAAAAAAGCGTGGGCGGAAAAGCAGAGGCGCGGGGAGAAGGTAGTTCTGCAAGCAGCTTACGAGCAAGCTGGCATCGATCAGTCGTTTTGCCAAGTGGGATCGATGGGCCGGTTTTGCAAATACGGTGTCATCGATCCGGCGGTCTGCAGGGAGCTGGGTCCTCTCCTCGTACGTCGCTGCTGCCGGGCTGGCTGCTGCGGGGAGGGGGGAGTATTTTTGGTATCAAGGTGTAGCTGTCCCGTTCTCCCTCAGTAAATGGATCCTCTCGTCCCTCTCATGTACTTAACCCCCGATCCCCCGTTGCATTAGACAAATTGTATTGATTCCCCGATCGGTCAATACCTCACACAGTCTTCTCATCTCCCCCTCGGGTCAGCAGTTTGACAACGTGGTTTGGTTACTTGTCCTCTTCCTCAACGGAAAGTGCATGGGCGCCGACCGCCCGATCCCCGCCGCATCCAGCGGGGACCGAACTCTGTCCGCCGGGGCTGGGCTCCGGTTCCCACGGCCGCAGAACCGGGTCGGAGCGGCAGTGCAAGTCCCTCTCGGCCGGGCGGCTGGGGGGCAGCGGGGGCTTAACTCAAGTTTCGCTCTTTCTTCTTGGGGCGTTGGGTTTTTTCCTCTTTTCCTTTAAACCTGTGCTTGTCGGGGGGGAAGGGGAAATTTCGTTTCAGTTCCCCCCTCCACTTTTGCAATCCAGAGCAGCTCTAGGAGAGAGAGAGGCACTGAAACACAGTGGCCAGGCAGACTTCTCCGGCTCCAGTCTTCCCCCGCCGACGCCTGCTCCACCACCGCATGACTGGGGGGTGGGGATCGAGGGCGGCGTTGGTGCCCACCCCACCGGCAGAGACTCACGCTGGCGGGACGCGGAGGAGGAGATGGGAAGAATAAAAGGGCTCCGAGGACGGCCGAGAAGGGCAGTCCCCCTCTCTCGCCTCCCGAGTGCCGGCTCCCGCCGGACGCCTTCCTTTTCGCGGGGCTTCCCGCGGAGGGCAGCGCCGAGCCCGCAGCGGCCGCGGCACACGCGGCACCCGGCGGCTGCTGCCGCCCGCTCAGCGCCGCGGGCTCGGCGCGGCTCGCACAGGCTGCGGCGGCCGGGCAGAGGAGCAGCGGCAGGTCCCCGCCGGCCGCCCTGAATTATTCATGGGGGGTGTATTATATTCGCTCGCACAAATTGGAGCCGCTGTGCAATGCTATCCGAGAGCGCTACGCTCGCCCCCTCCTCCTCCTCCTCCTCTCCGGTTCTCTCTCGCTCTGAGCCCCTGCAGCGCCTAGGATCACATTTCCTTTGTCATCTCGCCTCTTCGCGTGGTGTTTTATTGAGAAAACAAAAATAATATAAAACCCGAAGAAGAGGCGAGAGGAGCGGGGGGCGGCGGGAGGAAAGCAGCGAAAACCAAAACGCCCGCCTCCCCCGCGGTCTGCCGAGCCGGAGCCCACCGGCCCCGGGGGGTAAATTAGCAGGAATTACTCACTGATGCGGCAGCACCGTCCCAGGCGGCGTGGGATCCGGGGAGAGCCATCGCGCCGGGCGCCTTCCCCGCCGGGCGGGGTGCGGAGGGCGGCCCCGGGGGGGGCGCGGGGCTGGCGGCGGCGCTGCCGCTGCGGCCGCCGGCACTGGGGCGGCGCGGCGTGCGGGAGCCTTTTAAGCTCCGACGGCGCGGGCTGACTTCCGCCCGGCTGCGGGGGGCGGCCGGGGGGCGGCGGCGGCGGGCAGGAAACATTCGCCCTCCTCCGGCCCGACCTGCCCCCATCCGCCCGCATCCAGCCCCCTTCGCCCACCCCCGGTCTTTCAGTCCCGGTTTCGGCGCCCGGGACCCCCCTGGCACCGCGGGTCTGCCGCGCCGCCGCTCGGGCGGTCGCCAGACCCTCGCGCCCTTTTTGGGTTTGGGATGCGAGCGGGGCTTCGGGCCGTTCTTTGAAAGCACCGAGGCGTTAATGCAGCTTCAAACATTGAGTCTCTCGGGGAATTGTTTTCTGACGCCCGGTTTAGAGGTGACGGGCTCCTCTCCGCGCTCTTGAGGTTGCCGCCGGGTGTGCGGTGCCCGGGCGGGCGAGCCCTGGGGGGGTTTGCTGCTGGGCAGGGACAGGCGCCTCCAATCCTTCAAAGTGACTCGTGAAACGAAAATTAGCGGGGATACCATTTGCGCCGCTGCGAGACCGCACTTAAATAAAAATTCGCAACAATTATTTCTGTTTTAATGAAACTCCCCGCCACCAGCAACGTGTGGGTGGAAAGTTTCGGCTCTGCAGCACGACCGAGTGGCCACCCTCTTGGTTAGCGGGGCTTGCGGTAGCGAGAGAGGATGCATGGTATTGCACCCTTAACAAGGAAACGGGAGATCTGAGAAATTGTAAAACGTGGAACTGGCTTAGAGATTGGAAAGTTAAAAAATCAGGAAAAGGGATGAAAATGGGAAATTATACAGATCAGTGAATGGAAGCATCTGTAAATAACCAAAATAAACTCAAAACTAATTACTGTTCAGTAATGACAACAAATTCTCAGAACCACCACAGAACAGGAAAACTGGTTATTAAAATACATTCAGTTATGTTTCTCCTTTGTTTAACCCTTAGATGTACAAACAACTAATGCTATTTAGGCCTTAGATGCACAAATAAGACTAAAATCGTCTGCTTAAAAATGCCTTTTGTCTTCTGCTGGCAGGTACTAAACACAGCTCAAGCTGTATCTCAAAAAGCCCTTCAGAGAACTGAGAAACTCAGGAGTGCTAACACCCTTATGCAAGACCAAGCAATGGGAATCGTTGATGAAGTTCCATGGGCCAAGACAGGTGCATTAAGTTGTAAACAAGCATGAATATTTATTATGCCCCTCAGTAGTATATTCTGCTGAGAACTTGCCTTATGTATCACTAAAGGATTTGGCTCTGGGGCTGTGTTCTTTATATTACATATCCGTACGTTCACATTTGAGCATGCAGGTGAAATCCATCACAGCTTTGACTATCCAGAGGTTAAAAAATCATTGAGCCTTGCCTCAGCTCTGTTTATTTGTCCTGTGGTTGCTGCAGAGAGTTATGATGCTGCAGAGCTTGTCCTTTCCCGGATGAAGAGCGGGAATTCCCAAACAACAAGCTCAAGGTTGATCTGTTTGGGTTTCCCAGATAATGCTTTGCACCAGCTCCCTCAATGGAAACTGTCATCTTTTGTGTTCAGAAATATTTTAATTGGGCAGAAATTCCCAATGCGTGTCTCCAGGCATATCTGACACCCCTGCCTCCCTCGGTGACAGCTGTTTGCTTTCCAGCAAGCCGGCTGAAGGGGGCAATTCTGCACATCACTGCTTCAAACGGTCCTTAACAGGCTCACGATGCTACCTATGCCCTGTGGAAGGTCCTTTTTGCTGACAGGATCCTCTGTGTTTGTGCCAAGGCTCCCGAAGCTCGTTTACATCTTACACCCTCCCTGAGTTTGTAAAAGGCTATAAGCAATGCACTGTCCCTGAACAGAGGGTCCTTATTCTCCAGCTGTCACCCTCCTATTGGAGCACCTCTGTCTTGCTGAATCAAAGTCCTCCTTTTCTTCTCTAACCATTTCCACCACTGAAGGAATGCAACATTTTGAGGCTTCCTCCAGTTATGGATGGCTTGCTGTCTTCACTATGAAAAACGCTGAAATAAAGCTGAAGGGAGCACACGGGCACTATAATCCTTCTGAAACACTGGCTGCTGGAGCACTTGTGCACTCAGCTACACAGCAGACAGCACCGTGCATTTTTCTGCTTAATGCATTGACTCAGTGGTTTTCAATTCAATCAAGTTTGTTCTGCTATAACAACGCCCTCAGCTCTCCTCAGAGTGAGGCCTCAATATATTTAATTTGTTTTCTGAGCCGACAAACACCGTGAGTGAGTAACAGCGTGGGGGCGATAGGTGAAGTGCGGGAGGCTTCTCATTCCTTGTTGGACAGCAGGATGAGAACTTATTTTTATGATTTTTCCCTGGGAAGCTAGTGCTTCGCATTTTCCCTTTTTGTTTGTTAAAAACAAAAGAACAATAGCTATCCTGGTTAGCAGGGCTATTGTCCCTCTGTGCCAAATAAATGAAATCTCCCTGCTTACGTGAGCGTCTGAGACATTTCTCTGCATTCTGCTAGCTTTCCTTTGTGTCACTCTGCTGAGGTTTCTCGCATTTTATCCCCCATTTTCCAGTCTTTTTCAACCCACTTCTCTCATCTTTCTTTTGTCCTCCATTCATACACTGTTGCTGGTCTGAATTTGAAATTGTGTGGTTTGTACTAAAGGCAAACCCATCTTTTAAACTGTGTTGAAATCATAACTGTATTGTGATCGTGTAAGAACTGTGTTCAAACATTAACCATTAAAACATTATAACAATGCTGAAACCTAGGCATGAATGGTCTGATATTCAGAGACACTTAACAAGAATTGAAATAGCTCTGAAGATATGGCCCAGCTTCTGCCTAGTTCAAGAATCTCTATTTGGCAACATTTGTCTGTCCTTGACTAACTGCCCAGCCACTGCAGCTAAAGGATGCATTAAAAATGCTCTTCTTTTTTCTTTTTTCCCTTAAATTTTAGTGGAAAATACACCGCACCTGAGTCATTCTCTGGCATCTTCTTAGAATACCGGGATGTGCTTTCCACTTGGAAGCTCCGTTTTCTTGAAGGAAAGCATCTGCTTTCTGCCAGCAGCACTACAGGACAAACAGAATGGTGTTCCTGCCAAAAGCAATACAGCTGGAAAACCCAGGGGTCTGGAGGTTAAAAGCTTTGTTAAATAGAACCAGGTAGAGTAATCATGAGTTTGGGGATATTTTACTGTAATTTTAGAGGCAAACATTCACAGAAAGAGCTCTCCCCTATGCCACCTGCATGAAGGGGTCCAGCAGCCTGATGTGGTTTGCCTTGCTGTGCTGAGTGCCAAGGCAGTGTTGTGAGCTCAGAGCTCACACGGGTGAGCAGGAGTAGCTGAGGAGCTGGTGCAAGTCCCTGAATGTGCACAGGTAATGGGAAACAGAGGGGTCTGGACTCCTGTTATCATTGTTGCTATTTTGCACCTAAGGACCCAGAAAACAACCCCAACTCCAATATTGCTATACCACAATCATAAAAAGCCAATACAGTGGTTCATAGCTTCAAATTCTGCACAGCCTTTCCTAGGGATTGCCAAGATCTAAAACTCTCCCTGTCCTGTTGCCCCTGAGAATCCCCTCCTTTGTTTATCTGTTAACAAAGAGACAAGAGACTCAGCATTACAACCTGCTTGGATCTTTGCCTCTCCTGCTCAAAAATTCATCTAGTAAATCAATGTACAAAACCATCACCTACAACAGGTCTACTCACAAAGAAAGTCTTTAGCAAGGTCTTGGTGCTGCTGCAGCCTTTGGAGATTTCACATTTGTCAAATAGTGCCAGACAAATGAAAGAGGAAGGTTTTGTTCTTGGATTTTAGCTCACTGTTATCAACTTACTCATTATGCTCAGAGGAATATCCATATTTTTTTAGGTTTTCACCACAACTGTGCTCCATGGACAACTGTGCCACTTAAGTTCAGCCACTTTAGCTCTGATTTGTGCTGGTTTTTTCTCCTTCCCTCATTTTTCCTCTTGCAAGCACAAACTTTTAAATTTGCCTCAGATTCCAAATTTGCCATGCCTGCTCCTGCACACTGACTCTCGCTCAACCATATATCTGTCATTGGATCCATTAGTAAGTACAGTAGTAAGCTCAACTTTCTGCATGTGTTGCTGAGCTTCCTGTAGGATATGCTGGATCTTGAGCAGGGTGGAGGGTTGGGGAGCAAAGAAGCAGTAAGTGTTGTCCCCATGGTATAAATCATTGGAAACTGGCTTGCTCAGCATATTAATTCAAGCTCTTGACACCCCCTCCTCCACCCATCCATCTCCCCTACAGCAGGGTCACCTTGAGTTTAAAGATGTGCTTG